AGAGCCAGCCTAATTACCAGATATTCCTAATTATTTCTCCTGCTTCCTCTCTTCTATGCCAATATTTTCTTTCTTTTGGGTGATGACTGTGATTCTTGTTAATTTTGTGTCATTCCATTGATTTGTATCCAAGTTTTCATTTATTCTCTTATGTCTAGATCAATCACGGATCCAAAGATTTCATGAAAATGGTAATAACAATATAGTAATAGCTGCACAGTCTGATCCCATCGAGTATGGTAAAGTCTTTTCCCAGGTGAACTCCTTCAGTCTTTACCACACCTTCTCAGGTAGTTTCTATGAGTAGAGTCCTATGTTCTACATGGGAAAACTGGACAGAGGTTAAGAAATTTACCTAGCATTACAATAGCTAGGAAGTGATGTACCATATTAAAGTTGATTATAAAATATAATTTCTCTCATTGTCCTTGGAAAGCAGAAGCTCCTTTGGTACTCCTTAATGGGCATTATTCATTCTTTCCTCTATTCACACTTAGAACTTTGTTATAAACGTTTGTTTTTATCTACTTTTGTCTTATATATAATTATTTCTGTACATGACTAGATTATGGGGGCATGCATTTGTAACTATTATTGTATTGCCCTGATGCCTTATGCAATAACTGACTAATTGCAGGCACATGTTTAATACGTGATCATTAACACAGCAAAGATATCTCTAAAGGTTATAAAGACAAATTTAAATGGATTTTTTGGATTTTCTAGAGAAGTAAACTTAGTATTAAACATTATGTTTAATCATGTTACTTAAATGATTTAGCCCTATTTATTAAAGGAATTTTCCTCTATAAGTCAGTCAAAGCTGGCATACACTGCACAAGTAACAAACATGAGAAAATCTCATTTCACAGAACCATATACTGCTCAGCAGTTTTAGTGGTTTTTTACTTCCTGGTCGTTAGGTCATTTTCTTTCTTTGAATTATATAGAGTGTGGCCTAGGGCAACTGTACAGTCAAATCATAAGTGGTTGAGGGGTCCCTTTCATTAGTCATAAAGAAAATTTAAACTATAAAGATAATCCTCCAAGAAGTCAGTTTAAAAAACGTTATTTGAAATAGGCAACTAAGGTCCAGAATTGAAATTTGAAAAGGCTAAATAGTTGCTTGTTAATATCTCTGTAGCTTACAAAGGACATGTTTTTAACTAAATTACATGGAATGGTGTAATTCTTATCATAAAAAAGTATATGCGGGGTCAGATTAAAGTGTGTGTGGCAAAATTCACTTTGTAAAGGCTTCAGAAAATAATCCCATATTATTTCAGATTAATTTGGGGGCGTTAAAGTAAAAATGCCTCTTATATCAAATTTACTTGCTTAAAAATAAAAACTTTTGGTACTTACTGTGTCCTCGTTGTGATTCTCACCTTTTCTTTATCCTATACATCAATTTGATTCTGAGGTTAGATTAAAACACAGAGCAAATAGGAGCCTGAGACATCTTCAATATACAGTACCCTCTAAAATTAGATTCCAAAGTAAACATGTGGTGTGACTGCTGATCAGAGAGCCCAGGGGAGATCTATAAGGTGACTCTTATTGCGAGGTCTATAACCAACCATCTGCTTAAAAGTTCTTGCTTGATGGAAAACCACCAAGAAGTCAGTAGACCTTCACTCTTCCCCTGCCATGCTTTTCTCCCCATTAAGTAATTTAAAACTCAGTAAACCAAAGGCATCAAGGGTAGAATCACAGCATAAAGGAACAGAGGTTCAGTAGCCTAAAGCACAAGGTTTCTCCAGCACTCCATGTGTCCCTTTTCACTGAGAAGTTCTAAAGACTTTTTTCACCCTACTATTCCTTTCAATACCTGTACTACTTCTTTCTGAAGTGAATTGCTGGCTGCCTTGGAATCTCAATTTAATCCTTCTACAGAACAATGCTATTTAAAAAGTACAGTCATTCTACTCTCCAGCTATTAAATAAACCAACACATTTGTTTTCTCTGACCACATTTATTTGTACACAGGTTAAATGTGTTTTTGTACTAACTACATTATTTACAACATTAACTTATATTTTCTGAACTTATATGTGTACTTTCTAAACAAAAGAGAAAATATATTAGGGAATTAAACAGCTCTTTTTTAATTCTATGGGGTTTACCAGTAAAACAGAAAACAATTTTTGACTATTGTTGAAGGTGAACATTCAGTTTTCTTTCAGGACAAGTAAAGTAATTCTGATTACGAGGCATTGATGTTTACTTTGGTGAAAGATATGGAATTTTTGTGCTTCTGCAGCTAAAGTTGGTACAAACAGGTAGGAATGAGGAGCAAACAAAAACAGAAAGCTATTCAAAAATTTGTATTTAAAACTTAGAATTGTTTTAGAGTTTTCATTCCTGTGCGCAGAATACTATAATATAGCAACTTTCTCTAATTGCTCCATTCATTTTAGTGAAAACATTCCTGTGTTCTAAAACAGAACTGAACTTTAGCAAAGTATTAAAGAGCTATGCCCAGAAAAAACAATGTCAAAACAAATACAGATCTACATTCCTCACACTTTGAAAAAAATTTGACAATTTAAGACAAGTGATAAAACCCAAAGACTAGAGGAAAATCTAGCAAGAGCCACATTCTACCAATGCATTCAATTTAATCTAAGCACGTGAAATGCCACTTATTTCACATACAGGACTCACTAAGAAACTAAGTTAATAGAAGTCTTTGGCTAGAAAACCCATCGTCACAGGTGGCCATGGCTGAGCTACACAGTTTTTCTCAGCAGGACAATAAGCGCACCTCTACTGGTGCAACTATTCTTGCAAACCTGTTCAGTTTAGGTTCTAATCTGCACATTAACCATACATCAACAAGAACTCTTAACTGTTGCAAAGAAAATGGCCTTCTGTTAGAGTTCATTAAAACATAATCTCTTCTTGCAAAAATGACATACTGATAGTACCATATTCATTTTTAAATTTGCTCACTGTCACAAGGTCATCTGAGTATATAGTAAAATAAATTACTACAGAGTAATCACAATAACAGGACATGCCACTGATTATGAAAAGTTCAGTTTTAATGAACAAGCCCAGCATGTCCTTTTTGTTGAGTTAGCAAGAAGGCAAATTTAAAGACCTGTCATGGTTTTCACATACAAATGACATTGAAGAAGTTTAATATCTAAAGTAAACTAGGAATGACTAATTCTGGTTTTTGTTGTAATAAATATGATGACTATTTTTTAAGTTATCCTTAAAAAATTAACACTTTCATAAAAGGGAAGATGATTGCTCTTTGTCTTTCTTTGTATTACATAACCAACATTAAAACTTCAGAAGCTAAAGACTGTAGAGCCTTCTGAGTCACTTAGATATAGCATCCTTAAAAAGCAAATGTACTTTTGGAACACTAGAGATTTTTACTGTCTTTAAAAATCACTTTGGTCTAGGTTTTTATTGTTTAAATATTTATTATTATATGTAATGTTGATAGACATCTACTTAAGTGTTCAAACTTTGTTTTCTAGAAGATTCCACATGTAATTATTAAACCACAACACAACAGTTTAGAATAAAGAGCAAGACACTTCAAAGAATAACTGTGATGCACACTATGCATGGAGTTGTTTACAACTAACCACACAAATTAAAATGGAATCTGTAATAGCAGCAAATTATTAAAGTAATGGGTAGCAAAGTGATTTTAAAATCGTCTATATTTTGTGAACTGAAGTGACCAGCATCCCTCAGAGAAAGTAAAAAACAGAACTCATTTTACTTTAGTCAGGGAAAGTCACCTGAGCTTTGTTTGCAAGAAAACACTAAGTTCATCGACTATGTGAGCTAAATCTAACAGTCCTCATACTAAAAGGAAAGTTTGGTTACAAGAGCCTGAAGGAGGATATGCAGGTTAGGAAAGGACTCAAGAATTTTATTGCCTTGTTTTTTTGTTTTTTTGTTTTTTATAGATAGAGTTTTCTTCTACTTTTTAATTTCAGAAGTAGAGATATAACCCTTTATTCCCTTTCATTTTCCATCAGATGCACAATCAGATAATGTTTCCATTCACATAGATTTGAAAAGATCCTCACCCTGTGTGGGTTATTTTATTTTATAGTCGCCAAGGGAAGGAGGTTGTTGCCAATATGATGTTAAGGGCATGCAAAATAAAGTCTCAGTCCTGGGCAATGAAACAGTCCACCCTTGTGTTGCTCTTGTGGAAGAAGAATACAAGCCCATGACCAACTTTGGGACTTGATCAACAGTGGGGAGTCACAAAACTCTTTTCAATCACTGCATTTTAAACCTCCATTTAATAGCTCCTCTGTACTGGGGCTTAAAGTCCTATCTATGGCCAGTGATGGAGTACACAGTACTTAATTGTTTCTGACCTGGGTCTCTGCATCAGCACTCTGAGTGTCTTCTAACTTTTAATCACCTTGTATACTCCTTAATTAGACCTGTTCACAAGACAGCTAAATGAAAATGCCTTCCACTAAACCTGCTCAAGACGTTAAAACAGACCCTTTCACAAAGTCCAGGAACTTTTGTGCAAGTCTTGCCATCTTCCAGGATTTATCATTTTTCCCTTGTTCCCTGTACCTTAAAATGTGACACACTTCGGGGAGGAGGAAGCTCTGTGACTATTAAGACAGCTTCAATGTAAAGACACTGCCTGGTGACAATTCCCTCCTTGTCTCTCTATGTTCTTTATTTTGGTCGGTTACTGAGTGTTATCTTTTGCTTTTACTAGTGCTGGAAGGAAAGAACATGCAGTCTGTGGAAGGGAAAGCTTTTGGTCTCCTCACTGGGCGAAATGCTGAGACTTTCTCCAAGGACTGGGGTAACTCAAAAAGGGCTCTGCTCTCCTGAAAGGATTTCAGAACCCTAAAAATAGAGAGACTCTCTAACTTGGGTGGGAGATACAAACAGCTGAAGTGGCTGTCCTTGGCCCCCACAGGTGACCTGCAATAGGACCAACCTGCCAGCAGCGCCCCTTGGCTCAGGTCCCTCACGCTCCTGGACTCACCTAGTGCTGAAGACCAGCGCAGGCAGGAGAGGCAGCAAGTAGTGTGCTGGGCTGAATTTCATTCTGTCGCCTGCCGGGGTCCTCCTTCCCTCGCTGCCTTCGCTCTCCCTCGTCGTCCGGGTCCTGTCGCTCCTCGGTGCCCGGCTGTGTCCGCTAACGGAGATGAGCCCTCTCCAGCAGGTGATGGAAAGAAACGGACAAACGGACAGACGCCTCGCGAAGGCAGGCACTGAGAGCGGGGAGTATCTTTGGGAGTGATGTCACCAGCGGCGAGTCGAGCCCTGCCGGGGATTGTTCGGCGCCAGCGCTCCCGAGCCCGGAGGGCGCGTTGTCACTCGCGCTGGAGGCGGTGCGGGGAGAGGGGGTGGGGTGCCCAGCGATGGCCCTGCGCGCTCCGGTCAACCGGCTGCGCTCAGCCGGCTGCTCGCCCACGCGGGGCTGATCATTTATTCCCGTTTTCCCCGAGGATGGGGAGGAGCGGAAAGAGGTCGAGGAGAACTCTAATCTGCCCGTTGTTGAACCAGCGTACTCCGCAGGAGGTGAGACAATTCACTGGGAAAGACTATCAGACGCTTAGAGTCACAGGCAGGTGTCCCTCACCTGATTGAGCCATGTTTGGAAGAACGTCGCTGTGGAGATAATGTTTAAAATATTATTCTAATTAAAAATACACAATGATTTGCCTGATGCGGAAGGAAGGACAGCAAGAGTAAGCAGCGTCCAGAATATACCCTAAGCCTATAACGCTATCGAAAGCTTCTTAGTCCGCACATGTGTACTGTAAAGAGGTTTCAGGACCAGTAGGACATCTGCTGCTTCTGAGGTTGGAAAATTTCTGATCTTCCTCCGATTTCAATTTGTCCACTTGTACTAGCAACTGGCAGTGGGGTTGGAGCTGGTGGCCCAGTTTCACTCACCTGAAGAGGCCTTTTCTTCAGGTGAGGAGACATAACTGAGTGATTCACCAACATGTTAACAGTATCGGAAGGCAGGAAATCTTATATGTCATTTTATTTTCTACATTTTCCAAATTCCTATGATGGACATCTGATATTTAATAAGCTTTATTTTGAAAAATTGATTAGTAAAATTAAATAACACAACTCTAATACAAAATAGCATTTTGCAAAAGCAATTCTGGAAAACAGCCAACTTCATCCACTGATGTTGGATTCTAGGATTTTTACAACCTGGTATGTTTTTGATATAACAGCAGGATGTCCGGGTTAAATAAATGTTTATAAAGCACTTCCTCATACATTATTTCATTTAATTCTCATGAGAGCCATCCTAGAGATATATAAACTAATATTATACCTATTATAGAGACAAGGAAACTGAAGACCATCAAGATCTGAACTGGATTTTATTTCAACAAATACTGAGTTTCTTCTAAATCTTAAGCAAACTCTACTTTTGCCTGGAACATAACACCTTGAACAGCTATTATACCTATTATAGAGACAAGGAAACTGAAGACCATCAAGATCTGAACTGGATTTTATTTCAACAAACTACTGAGTTCTTCTAAATCTTAAGCAAACTCTACTTTTGCCTGGAACATCACACCTTGCACAGCTATCCCAGTGATCAACACAAAGTTGATGTTTAATAAAGGCTGAAATGCACTCAAAGGCCTATAGGGCAAAGGTCAAGTGGTCTTCAGCAATTCCTATCCAGAGGGTTCAGCTCATATTCCATTTTTTTCAAGGGCAAGCCATTTACACTAAAACATGGATTAAACATCTCTTTTAACCTAACTTTTGAAGACATTATTTGTAGGAAAAATATATTTGTTATAAAGCTCTATTTTAAAGAGGAGATGAGTTTAAGGAATTAACCATCTAATTTACTGATTTGTTTTTGTTTTTTCTTTTAATTAGATAGAAGTTTAAAATATTCACACAGAACAGACATTGCTTTAAAACCGCAGGCCACTAAAATAGATGAATAATAACTTTCACAAACTAGATACCAGCCCCTTGGGCAATAGTAAGTTTCACAACAGATGTAACTAGACATATACAAATCAATTCACTTGGGAATTAAATGTTTTTTAAATAGAAAAATTGCACTACAACAGAACTCTGACTGGGAAAGAAAATATGTGTTTCAGTTTGTTCTTAACAGAGTTGTCTAATAATAGATTTCCTACTCAGTTTGGAAGGTAACCATTGAGTTGCACACTCAGCAAACACATATGCCAGTACTTGGTAATAAAACAAAAAAAAAGTTGTATATTAGGAAATGATATGCTTGTAGAAAACATTTTTGTTTATATAACAAAACTGAGTTCGTTATATGTGCCCTAATCATAGAAACCAAGTGTGGTAGTCATTTCTATTACTCTCCTCTTTGGCAGCTGGGGTGACAGATTCAGAGTGTGTAAGTAACACCTTCAATATCACTCAAGTAACTTATGTAGTGGAGATGGTATTCAAATTCAGTCTGCATCACTGTAAAACATTTGTTTTCTTCAGGAAAAGTTTGTTTTTTAAATATACCTATGTAATAAAAGACTTTCCCCAGCCTAAATTGTTATTTTTTATATTAGATGTATAATACAGACTATAGGACAGACTACTGTAGATTGTCAATCAAGAAAGGGAAGTATTAGAATGAACATTTTTAAAACTGTCTCACATTTATGTTGTGCTTCTTGGATACCAATAAAGAACCACAAGATTTGTTGGCTTTTATGCATTTTCTGCAAGCAGAAAAAAAACACCTTTTCTGATCCATTAGGTCATCAGGGAAGCATATCTTGGAAGGCGAACCTAAGTACCTTGGAAAGTGAAACTCCCAAAGATTTAAGGGACTGAAGTATTAAATTCTGAATTCAAGTATAGATCTTTCTTTCAGCAGAAGTCTTTTCTTGTTGGGGAATTACAAGACCATAAGTCTCCATCACCCATGACATTCTGTCTACACTGCCACAAGAAAACTCAAATCCATAATTAATTTCATGGTTTCAGAGATTCAGTATATAAATTTTAAAGTTGCAGCAGTGCAGACAGGAGGTTCACTTAGCTGAAACCACCTGACCTATGCGGAGTCCCAACTCGGTCCTAAGCAAAAGTTGATCGCAGTAACTATACTGAAGTCTGAATAAAGGACATCAAGAAAGCCCACACAGTTACACTGAGAGGCTGGTCGCCATAAAATGCAGGATTGGGAGACACAGGGGATCTTTTTTAAAAATAGCTTTTTTGGGATTTAATTCAGGTACCAAAAACTTCACCATTTTATAGTACATAATTCAATATTTTAAAAAATATTGTCATAAGGTTATAAAAATGTCACTATTATCTAATTCCAGAACATTTTCCTTACCCCCAAACAAAACCTTGTGCCCACTAGCTGTCACTTACCACTCCCTTCTTTCTCTCTTTTTCATATCCTTGGCAACCACCAATCTGACTACTGTCTCTACAGATGTTCCTAATTTTTGACATTTTATATAAATTGGGTCATACTATATGTGGTATTATGTCATATTCATGTTTCAATTATTCACATTGTACTATGTGTCTATGTGTACTTCTTTTTTATTACTAAATAATGTCCCATTGTAGGGATACACCACATTGTGTTTATACATTCATTGATTGAAGGACATTAGGGTTGTTTTCATGTTCTTGCTATTATATATAATGCTGCTATGAACATTTATATAAAAGTTCTGTGTGGACATTTGTTTCCCATCTTCTTAGGTAGATACCTAGGAGAGAAATTACTGGTTCACATAATAACACTGAGTTTATTTTTTTTGAGAAACTGCCAAATTGTTTTCAAAATAGCCACACAATTATACATTCCCACAAGCAATACATGAAGCTGTCAATTTCTCTATATCTTTGCCAACACTTGGTATTTTCAATTTTTTATTATTATTATTATTATTATTATTATTATTATTATTATTATAGTGGGTGTGAAGTGATATCTCATTATGGTTTTGACTTGTATTTACCTGATGGTTAACCATATTGAGCATCTTTTCACATGCTTATTCACCATTCATATACAATTGTTGGAGATAAGTTTATTCCAATTATTTGCTCATTTTGAGTCATTTGTGACTTAGTTCTGAATTATAAGTTCTTTACACATTCTGAATACAATTCTTTTATTAGATATATGATTTACAAATGTCTTCTCTCCATCCTTGGGTTAACTTTTCATTTTCTTGATTGTTATTTTCAGCAAAAACGTTTTTTGTTTTTTTTAATCTTTCAAGCAAAAAAGCTTTTAATTTTAATGAAGACCAATATATCTATTCTTGTATAAAAAAGGCTTTGTTTCACCCATCATGAAAATTTGTCTCAGCTTTCTTTTAAGAATTACATTGTTCGAGCTATATGCATTTAGAGTCAGTTTTTGTGTACAGTGTGAGAGAGGGGTCCAACTTAATTCTTTGTATGGGGGTATATGCTTGTCCTAGCATCAGCTATTAAAAAGTTTATTCTTTTCCCCATTTAATTGCCCTATTTCTTCTCTCTCACAGTAATATGTTTTTTATCATTTTTGTATTTCTCTTTCTTCTCATATTTTAAACTCTGATATTGCCTAGAATTTTACCCTTTATCCTCTTCCTTTAAAATTCATTATTTTTAATCCTCCTGTGACCTTATAATTTAAATGACTTTTACTTCTCCAATGTGGTTCTAAGTCTAAATATATGTCACCAGCCTAGACTTCTTCACTGAGCTTCCAGCTAGGTTTCCTTACCTCTAAGTCAAGCTTGATCACACAGAGCTTTTGTTCTTTCTGGTCATCCTGTTTATTTCCTCATATCTCCATCTATTCAGTCACTCAAGTTACAAACTTGGGAGTCATCTATTACATTTACCTCTCACTTCTCCCACATTTTGTCAATCAACAAGTCCTACGGATTTTACTTCCTAAGTATTTTTTTATACAGTCATCCCAACCCAGTATTAAACGTATCATCAGGGCTCTACTTAGGAATCATCGTGTTTGATTCTAAAGTGTGTTCCTTATTCTCAGGTGTAATTTCCTCCAATCTATTCCCCCAGTTTGATCCATCTAAACCGCAAAAATATTTATTGCCTTAAAGATCCTAGGAAATAACACTCAATAATAGATCCAGTACATGTCTCCTCTCTATTTTTTTCTTTAACTTCCATTTACACTCTAGACAGAGTAATAGAAGTTTCCTTTGATGTGATGTTACAATTTTTCATGTTATTCCTTCTTCCTGAAGTGCTCTCTCACTCATCTTATTTGTACCTGACTTTAATCATGTGAGACATGAATGCCATCACCTCTTTCTATGATAATTTCCTTAACCCATCTACCACCATGAACTTGGTAAGGTCTCCCTTCTCTGAGTCTTATGACATGTGATAGACGACAGTATTTCACTCATAATAATATTTAGTAATTTTAAATTTCTATCTCTCCCTATACCATATTAAGAATATAAGGGTGGTATTTCTCACTTTCCTTGGTGCTAAGATAAAATTATTTTTGTAAAATTGTAAAAATTGTATTTATACTTATGTATTTTCACTTATGCATTTTCTAAGCCAGTCACTAATTTTATCCATGTATCTATAAACCTGGAGGTTAAAGACTTAAA